AGACAAATGGCTTATATCTATTCCCTCCGTAACATGCAAAGGTCAGGAGACTCCTTAGAAAAAGAAATCCCTTGACAAGCTAGAATGAGTCCATGCAGAGCACGTTTGACAGAGAGGTCACCAGTTACTCAAAATGCAGAGTGAATGCTGAACGGGGGAACCTCAGTCACTGTTTTCCCCATGATATCTCATGAATCGATTGTCAATACTGAAGACAGATGTCAATACATAGTGAAGTTCTTTGACATTCCTTAGAAAAATGGTGTCATCCCAGTACTGAAGTAGTCCATTATAACCAGTCCAACCCATAATTTCAAGGTGAGAGCAAATGACACACAAAACCTGTTCCCCTCTCCCAATTTTCACCAGAATTTCATTCTTCTTTGAAATTTTGAAGATGTAAAGAACAACTACCCCCCACCACATATATACACACAGGTTTGTAATTATATCTTTGTGGGGACTCTCCATTCATTTCAATGGGAAAAACTCTAATCCCAACATGACGGCCTTAACCCCTACCGGCCCTAACCTTAACCATAAGTAAACAAACATTTTGATTGCATTCACAGGTCTTTGTGGAGACCTGAAAAATTGTCCCCACAATGTCCAAAAAAAAAAACTGTGGCCAGTGATGGCACTCCCCCCACCTCCCCCAACTTAGCAATCATACTGTCATGACAGCACCCATCCCACCCAGTTGGTAAATTTCAAGGCAGTGGCCCTTGACTTTGTGTTGTTGATGGAATTTCGTCCTTGAGAAAAAAAAATCACTGGAGACCCCTGCACTTGACACTTACACGATTCACTGGATCCTTCCCAGAAACATGCAAAGCTAATACAAACAACTCTTCACTGGATGGACTCCACACACTGACCATACTGAGGTCATGCCAGTGAAGCTTAGTGCCTTGCCACAAGGAGGAGAATTAGGCTTTTAAAAAATGAGGTGCAGATTACGGTAGTAGGAAGCGGTGAATGTCAATCGGCGATCCCGCATGTTACGTGGTGAATATGACATGAGAATTACATTTCTTGGCAAGAATGGGAGACGGTGTTATCGGCCAATTTGGTCCAAACATTAGCTGGTGTGATTTGCTGACAGACTGCAGAAGCAGCAGGATGTGGCTTCCACGCCTCATTGGTGCGCTCGTCAGTGTTTGGCACAGTTATAGCTACTGCCACTCTGGCTTCGCAGACACAGCTAACCATCGCTAATATTCAAAGAGGATCATACAATACCAGCATCAGGTGTAAAATGCTACGGTAATATTCAACAACTGATATTTCTTTTTAATCAGGGGAGATTATTATCCTGTGTACAATTAATTAGGAAATTTATGTGCCATGACAGCTATTTATTTCACCAAATATTCAAGTGTTTGAAGAGAAAACAAGACTACTCAGGCACCTGAGGATTCCCAAACAGCAGCATTCATTAACAAAAAATGGCAAATCTAGCAACTGGTAATTGCTGAGGAGTTAAGAGCTTTATTTGAGGGGAGGGGTGTGATGACAAGCACTGCCTTCACACTACCTCACAGCTTGCTCACCACTCCACACTCCTCCAGCCCTGTTAATTAACTGTTCAAAGGTATATTACACCTAACTAGGCCTGAGGGGGATCTTGCCATCACCATCATAGTTTGCCTAATCTCCACCCAATAGCACACGAGAATGCAGTGTACTACTTCAAAGACCGATCACCGGAAACACTGCAGTGGAAACACACAGATGGCATACTAAATATCACTGCATGCTGCATTCTGGGACAGCACAGCCACAGGATGTCGACCAACCCCACGAAAAGGCAATGCCACAAGAGTCCGTATCAGTGTCATCCCAGTTACATTAAGCATGCACACCCTTGCCCTCATGTTACAAAGAGCCACTCACTGACATCAGGCCAGACCTCAGAGCAGACTCTCAGGAGAGTTCAGCAGCCTGAAGACGGCAATGAAGTGCAGAGCGACAGAACACAAATCCCAGGAGCAAATAATGAACTCTTCTTGGTGTAAGAATTGACCAGAGTTTCTTGAAGACCATTTGTATGATAAAACCTTATCCTTACGTCGCAAACCTGAGACATTTTTCAGAGAGGAAGACAGGGAAAGGCAAAAGCGACAGGATGGAAATGTGATTTTTAGGGTCCTTTATATAGAGCAGAACTTTCTGAACGGTCTGCTGAATGCTTTAGGACTTACCGAGTTAATACAAGTTAGCTCCTTGTTTAGCAGCCATGGCAGAGACAGCTTGCCTTCACCCTTGTAGCATGACTGGATGCGTTCCTTGATCTTTTCCTTGATTCGACGTAGTGTGAAGAGGCAGAGCGCTGACTCCTTAGGTGGTTTGGCCCTATTCTTTTGGCCCTGCGAGAAAACTGTGAACAGGATGTCCTCCTTCTCAGAGATTCCCAAAGAGCGAGCGAGCAGCCGACCGGGCCGAGTAAGGTAGGCATCCTGGATGAGCCGGTACTCCACACCGTCCTTGGTACAGCCAATAGGGAACTCCACATAGGAGTAGAACTTAGGGTCATCCACACATAGGCGCACAATCTTGGAGGTGAAGAACTGCTCACCGCTAGCATCAGGTGAGGTGAGCTGCGTGTCCAACTGCAAAGTCAGGTAATAGACAAACTGCTCGCTACTGAATCCGTAGATGTAATAGATGTCAAATGCTGGAAACTTTGACAGCGTATCAGAGGGGATTTTCAGCTGAGAAGAGACAAACTCATCCTGGTAGACAAAGCTGAACATATCAGCGTTCTCCTCATTGGCCATCAGCTTGCGGCTAGATAATGTGGGAAAGTATTCCGACTTGCCATCAATAGGTGTGCCAACAAAGAGCTTGCTGTTGAGGCTGTCCATCCCTTCAATGATGACACCTGACATGGTACCTGACTCATTCACACTGGATAGGTAGTGTTCCTTGCGGTGGTGCGGCTCACCCAGCTTGAAGAGGTCATCCAGTCTAAGGAACTGGCAGATCCCCTGGGAGGTGCTTCCACAGGCAATGAGACGGTTTTGAGCATAATCCACCAGCAGTAGCTTGTTGACGTTGATCGTCTGTGCCAGTTCGTGCGGGCAGGACTGCACACTCGGTGGCGGGTAACACTTCTCGTTGTCCACCACCGGGCCGGTCATATGACTACGTAGCTTCGTCAGGTTGCTAGATAGCTTGAAGATCCAGTTGACTGCACCCAGGTACACCTCGCCTGTCTTGTTATGGATCACCATGTGTGTCAGGCCTCCGTCCAGCGGGGAAAAGGTCTTGAAGGGCATGGGCGTAATGCGGGCCACAGCCAGGATGAGTGGTAGCCCCTGGAGGAGCAGGAGGAGCAAGCTGCTCATCAGTCTCGTGCAAGACCACATTTTCACGCACTGCCCCTGTACAGCCAAGGTTAGATAGTGGGCTCTTCCTCCTGCTCCTTCGTCCGGCTTGGCTGCACCACGTTAATGATTTGCGGGGGGAGGGAACACACTTATAGACCAGACGTCCCGTTTTTCACTTGCCGTAGAGCTGTCATCTATAACATCAGCAGTGGCACGGCCAAGAGCCCTACAAGTGGGAGGGGGAGAGGGAAAAAAAAAACACATTATGAGCTGCAGTGGAACATTTCCTATTGATTTTGCATTCTGTGGTTTAAAACACCAGAGAAGCCCAGCCAAACAGGAAGGTGGGTAGAAACATTCACAACACATATGTAGCAATAAAGTAGAATGGGACCTGGGGGAAATATCCCATACAACATTTAATTACTAGGATGGGCATCCTGGGCTACAGGGGGCTGCTGTCAGACAAGACTAAACACAGCAGAATGCAGCATAAGACAAGCATGGATTAACCATGGATATGAAGGCCTATCTTACGATGCTTACTGTATCAGGTATGGTTAGAGGCTAGTTGGTGGTCTGAATGTGCTACTTCCACCGTCACAGACTTTTCACAACTAACAACAGGAATGTGGTGAGCAGTGGTGTTTTATTTGGGCACATTTTTGTTCCTTGGGCCTCAATTAAGTAATGACAGGTACACAAACAATCTTGGTTATCTATATCTCATAAGCACCGACCAATCTTTCGGGTTCCGCCTCAACACACTCACAAGAGAGTCAACGCATTCCCCAATGCAACCCAATCAGTCCGGATGATCTACGGCATAAATTCCCTGCTTGCAAGCCCATTGGAACAAAAACCTTTGCCTGAGCTGACAATCGTTGCGGCACAAATTTCCCAGAGTGAGAGGATTGCCTCCATTTAGCTGCACTTAGTCCTAATTCGCCACTTATTGCTAAGCTAATTCTTGTTATGGGGGAAAAAAGCCCTAACATACAAGCACGGGTGTGTGCTCACACACAGATACACACTCACAAGGCACATAAAAATCCATCAAAATTTTAAACCAAAGCACTTTGCAGAGATCAATGCTTTTACGGGACAATCACTGGGGAAAGGAATTAAAATGTGCAGAAAAGGCCATTTTATTGCCATACCTTCAAGGTCTTATCACAGCAGCCGACATCCATCACTTCCTCTACACCCTACAAAACCTAAAAATAAAATGCTGCCATTCCAATAGTTCTTCTCCACAAAGGAAATACCTAATGCCAATGAATTCAAACACAGTGCCTGGGCATCCAAAGCACTGAAAATGCTGAATATGTAAATCAGCGCTGCAATTAACTGCAGCCAGAATCGGTTTCTGTGCGTGTTAATGTAATCCAAAATGAAATACAATTACATTTTCAAAACAACATTAGCTCTAAACTACGAGGAATAAATAAATCACTCAAATCACTTGATTTAAATGGGACAAAAAGAGGCGCACCATATAAATTACTGTTCAAGTGTTTAAAAGTATTAGTATAGCATTTCTTTGAAATAAATTAGCATTTCCTCGAATATATTAGCTAAATTGAAAAAAATGCAAATATCCCACAGAGCCAGCATTAACAGATTTCCTCTGAAGATGAGCCAAGGAAGGTGGTGGTGGGGGGTGGGGGGGGGTTTTGGGCAGAACCTGAACACACCAAGTATGTCACTAGATATATGTCACTGATGCTCTGGGAGGAGGGGCAGCCTATGGGAGCCCAAACAGTTTTCAGGTCCCAGGTGTGTTTTATTGGCTATCAACCCCTTCCCCCCCCAAAACGCACACACAAAAAGCCTAATTACACATGTATGCATTCACACTGCATGCTTAGCACACGCTACTGGTTTCCATGCCCCTAATCTGACCCAATGCCCAACCACTGCCTTGTGAGCTAGCACTAATTAGACACCTTCCATCGTTACTGTTTACAGCAGGTGTCTACCTCAGTAATGCTAAAGGTGCAGCACCCACAGAGGGTGAGTGACTCCGCTCCTGTTATCGGAAAGTCACCAGTTCAAATCCCATGGTTGGCAGAATGTTGGGCCCTGGTGCAATGCCCTTAACCCTGAGTTCTGCAGGGGCGCTACATGCTGGCTAACCTTGTGCTCTGAGCCCGAAGCTGGCTCTCACCTTTATACGTGTCTGCATCTCACACAGAGAGCATGATGGGACATGGAAAAGCTACCTGACTGATGTCACAGAAATGAATAAGGCATCACTATTCTATACTTAAACACTTACAATTATTTATTTTTTTTACTATATGGTGTTACGGCTGTTTCTGGTGGGGATTATTGTTGGGAGCGTTCCTATTTTTTTTTATTTACCTGTGCAAAGCTGTGGGATAATAAAATAAAAATGTTCCCCTTCGAGATCAATAAAATACAGGCCATAAGGAAACAATGGAGTGGGGAGACAGCAGAGATAAACAGCTAGCTGGCTACATTCGGGGCTGGGAAATGTATCGACTTAAGGCAAAGCGTTAATTTTAAAGTCATAATGCATTATTTCTTTGACACAAAGCAGGGTTTCATTATTCTTAGCAGGGTAACTTGTCGAATTTCTGGTAGTCTGGCCTAAATATAGGTGAATGAAGATGAACTGCATCTGAACTGCTGTCCCTTAAATCTGAAGTTATCGGTAACGCTTTACTTCACAGGGCACAAATAATATAGTATTATACCGTTACTTATGCATTATGCATTAATTAACCACAAACTAAGTCTTAGTTACATACTGATCTCATGTTAATTCATCATTAATGATTCATGACCCATGCTTTAAAGCAGTTACTATATTTGGTACTGTATCTGTTAATTCTATAAACCTTTGTGAACTACTGAAGGAACTACTGAAGGAACAAGTCATGAGTAACACACGTTAAATACTGATCTCATATTTGATCATCATTAATGAATAATGATGTACCTTTCATCCCAAGCAGTTACTATATTTGTTAATTCTATAAACTTTTGTAAACTACTGAAGGAACAAGTAATGAATATACAAGTAAAATACTGATGAGTTATTACATGCCAGCCCAATGAGTTATTACTAAGTATTTGTACCCTGCCAAGTAACATGTTACCAAGTTATCTAGCTAAACAAATCCAGCTTCTTGATACAGGACTCCAGTTTATTTTGCTTTAAAAAATTGCCAGATGGAGGCAAAGGATAAAAATAATGCTATTTGCACGATTTGTTTTATTTTATTGAAGGCATAAACTTTAAAATCTTAAGATCTTTCATGTTATTCTGTGCACTTTCAGTGGTTGTCAGGTTCTTGTTCTTAGAGCCATTTGCCAAATAGGTTTTAGATGTTAGATCAATCATGCTGCTGAAATTAGATACTACGTCGATCTGCCTGTTGAGTACCTGAGATTATACGTACATGTGGTATATGTATTTTCAATGCCTTTTTGAAAATATTCAAATTCAGCAATTAGTAGTTTTCTTGGAAATGAATAAGCTGCACATCACAAGTTTAACTTAAAACATTAAACAAATATTAAAATATTAAAATAGCATTCTCACAAGCTTGAGAATTTTCTGGAAAACATCTTATGGTGAAATAGTGTTTGTTCTATTGTGTAGAGCAATTTACCTTAATTTTCAAGATGTATTAAAGTGGTGTCATTTGTTGCCCCAATTTGATGATTTTTAACCATTTCCCCCAAATAGGTAGCCAAAAATCAAAGAACACAAAATGTTTTTAAATCTTTCGACTTAACTCACAAACAATTTGCATGACAAGATGTGCATCTTTGCTCAGTTTTTAATTAGTTTTGTAATGTTTTCTCATCTCCGTAACTCTTGCCCTGGATTTCATGGAGTACGTTTGTTTATTACAGAAATAAATGCTAATTCAACAAAACTGATTAAGTTGCCCTCAGGCTAAAATGATAGTTTAAACAATGAAGCTGCATAATGAGTCTGTCTTCAAACTAATTTTAAAAAATCAGAGAAAATTGATACATTATAGTAATGAATGACCCATAGACTCTCCTTTGCGTTAATTGTAAAATAATTTAGGGATTCAGAGTGTAAATATGCATGATTGTAAATTTTTATGTTAGGTATGGTTAATTGCGATTAGTCCCAGAAAACTGTGCAATGAATTTGGAATTTTTTTAATGATAGATTAAAAACTGGAAAAATGTCCCCACAAGATCAAAATAACAGGTTTTTACCACATTGTGGGGATATTTGGCCCCCACCACAATGCAATATATACATGATTCCCCCTCCCCACACACACACACACACACTATACAGTATATATATGGATGGAAATACATCTTGTTGCCTTTACCAGCACAGACAATAAGAGAGATGGAAATAGAAAAACAACAAGTGCAGCTGTTTAGTAGACAGGCTGTCCCACAATATAAACTCCCCCTTTATAAATAAGCCTGGCATTGCAGTGCAGGAAGAACGAATGGGGGGATGGGAGGGAAAAAGATAAAAATCAGCCAGCCACAAAGACCACTCCGTAAGAGAACAGAACGGTGCAATCTGTGATTGGGGAGCTTTGAGAGACACTTCTACTGACAATGTAAATCAGCAGCGCACACAGCGCTCACCGTACTGTCACAGGCGGGAAAAGCCGCGGCGAGTGGGCGTGCAGACGGGTCGCCGGCTGACAGTCCGCGCGCGGCAAGGGAAGCCAGCCGCCCCTGCAGCGTACACGACCGCTGTGTGCCTCCAAGGCGGAAAGGCAGCTGTGCCCCTCCCTGCACTCAAAGTGGGGTCTGTGTAAGGCACAGGTGGGGGATTAAGATTGGGGGGGGGGCGCATCTGTTGGGCAGTTGCTGCACCAGCCACTCGTGTGTAGATTTGGGAGGGACCCCACAGAGTTAGAGACTCCGCCCTCGCCCCCACCACACAACAATGTCTATAGAAACAGGCCACAAGTGGGTGTGACCATGCACATCTCCCAGGCTTTCAGGTCCTATTAAAAAGGGGTGGGGGTGTCACCCCCTGGGGAACTAAGCTATTGTGCTAGAGCTGAGTGTCGTAGACGTGCATGTTTACTGTAACATGTCCAATCTGTCAGGGTCTCGAGAGGGGAGGACGGGAAAAGTGTGCGTGTGTGTGTGTGTGTGTGTGTGTGTGTGTGTGTGCGCGCATGTGTATACATTATGTTTATGTTACATTGTGGGGACCAAATGTCCCCTCCAATGTAA